ATTACACCAATTACTGGAAAATAAAAAATAAAAAATAAAAAAACAAGCAAACAAACAAAGCTACATACCTGCTCAACACCTGGATATTTATCAGCAGCAGCTTCCACAGCAATTGAGGAAGAGATCTCAGCTGAGCCACCACCATATACTATAGAGTTGTTCCGAATAAGATTTCTGGCAACACACAAAGCATCATGAAGGCTGCGTTTTGTCTCCTCTATCATCATTTTGTTACCTGATCGGCATGGAATTTCAACATCAATCAGATAAGTGTATATGCCTGCAAGAGTTCCTTAGGGGAACAAGAAGCTACCCAGAGAGGTAATAGCAAGCAATATAGTAGGACTTTTTAAGTAATGTGTATATTTGGTATTGATTGCTAGAGTATATTTGGTATTGATTGCTTGTTACAAAGCTAAGTTCAAAATATTGAGGAAAGGATTTAAATATTTAATAGAGAACAAATACTGAAGTACATTATTTTGAGGAAAATATACAACTCTTAAATTGTGTTATGTCAACAAAAACAAGGTCTCCAAGTTTTCAACAATTGTTTTAACTAATTCTGCACTAAACTTAATTCAAGTTTTTTAATAAGAAATTCAAACCTTATACATGAAAATATTGTAACCTGCTAAAGATCCAAATCCTAAACAGCATCAAACAAAAGTATATGTTCTCTGACCTAGTAAACTGAGAAAAGGCTATTAGAGCAGGAATTGCAAAAGACAAAACAACTTACCCCCACGTATGAATATAGTCACTGCCCTTGAATTTGCACAATGTTCAATATAAATCATTCGATCCTTGGTCGTACCAAAAGATTTCTCACGAACCAGCCCAGCCTGAAGTCATTAATAGGAGTGACACATTTTATAGTGTACACAAAAAACTACAGTTAAAAGAGTATCTTCTTTAAAAATTAAAATCAAAGGATAAGATGCAATTACTCAAAATCATTTTTGGTATAAGGGTCAAATAAGACTGTGAACTTGTGCAAAAATGCAGTTATGCCCTCAAATTAAAGAAGGCTTTGAATAGACCCTCAAACTTGAGAAAAAATGCAATAGTCATTTTTACCTATAATTGCCAGTAATTAACCAATTAAATGCCAACTCACATCATTATTATTCTTACTACTATTTTTCTTCTCCTAATTATTATTATTATTACTATTATTATTATTATTATTATTATTATTATTATTATTATTATTATTATTATTATTTCTTCTCCTTCTTCCTGGTCTGCATCAATGAATCAAACACAAAAATCAATGGAATGCCATGGCTGCAACGACATCAAGCTCCACCTTCATCAATGATCGGACAAATAGATAGAGCATTATTATTATTCCGAGAAGACTGGTCAGTATAATAATAATAATAATAATAATAATATTATTATTATTATTATTATTATATGGATGTCACTTATGATGCCACATCAACAAAAATCTGTAAAGTTAGCAATTTTTTACAAACTTCCTGTTTCTGACCTTCTAATAGGGTTCAATTGCATTCTTTTACAAGTTTAATGGTCTATTCAAGATTTCTTTTAGTTGGAGGGTGTAATTGCATTTTTGCATAAGTTCAAGGGCTTATTTGACTGTTATTCCATTACTTTTTAGTTAAAAGTCAGTTAACCTACTTCAGCCTTTAACATGCAAAAAGAAATCTAAATCAAGCATACATAACAGGCAACTATAACAATGTAACAGACTAACAAGCAAACTACATAAACCACAAACCAGAAATGTGCAAGATAAAAGAGAAATATAATTACCCTGCCAAGTTTTTCCGGGGTCAACTCTTGAAATCTTGGCACAATTCGCCCACCTAGGCACAAATGCATATACAAAAAGCATGAGTAATAATAACAAGTAGCGATTAGGCTTCAAAAACAAGAGGGCTAATTAGATCCAAACCAGTGGCTATTGCAATCAGCTCCAGCTCCACACCACCAACCCATCTAACAGCTGGCAAATTTCTATGCATTAGTAAGTGGTTTGCTTCATCATCAAATCCCCATTGGCAAATAACCAAGGTCGCACCAACATCCTGTGTCAGAAATAGCATGTTGGTTAAGGAACAAGAAAACCAAAGCACCTAAAACTATTATGAGGAATTGAAGCCCTGAAAACGTATAAGAACCAACTAAACCACTAAACTATCAGCAACAAAATGTACAACACAGTATTCCAATTGGAGTATATTCACTTTTTATGATTTACAGATGTCTTCTATTCACAGAAAATAAGTATGAAAATCTGAAAGGAACAAAATAGAGAGGAGTGGATCTCATTCTCCCTCCTGTTAACCAGTTCCAAATCAAGTTAAAGAAAAGAGGAGAAAATAATCAGCAGAAAGGCATTTATTTTGTCATCAGAAAGTCCAAGAGAAGGGAAAAAGAAATGACAACTTTGAGAAAGTATTTTTAATAACTCCATCTTTTAACATCCTCAAATCCAACCAAATTCTATTTAAAAAATATTAAAAAAGAACGTGGCATCTCTTTTCTTTCAGAAGCCTTCTCCCCCATATAAAGTCAGGATGAGGCCCAAATTTCATTAACAGTTTTCGATCCACCTTCCATTATACCAAGAATAGTGCATGCACTTTTACCTTGCATTTCTGAACCATGTCATCAAAATATTTCTGTTCCTGCTGCCTTAAAGTCTGGAACTTCTCAACAGTATCGATGTCAACCTTATGCTTGGTCTTTGGTTTAGGGGGCTCAAATGGACAAGTCAAAATGGCAATTTTTGCATCCTCAATTTGCTTAGGCATCTGTGGATGACTCATGTCTTTGTCAACAACAATGCCATAAATCAGCTCTGTATCCTCTAGCTTTCCACCAACTTTTCCCTCTACTTTGATTAAGTCCAGGTTAACATCCTTCCTCTCTAAATCTGCAACAGCGAGAACTGCTTTGACAGCAATCTCAGCTAAGTTACGCTTGCATCTATTCACACTGAAAGCAGAGTTCACAACATCAAAACATGCATGTATGAATAATAAAAGCACATGAACAAATGACAAGCTATATTGGAAAAAAAATAGAGATTAATTAAAATTATAAGTTTTCTACTCATACATGTCACTTTTACAGAGCTTCAGCTTTCTTTTTTTTAGATTGGTGTGCTCTACAACAGAAAGTGGCATAGTGGAATCACTTTGGAAATGAAGGTTAGTTAAAATAAAAAATTACTTAGGATATGGATATGCAATGCAAGGTGCTACGATTTCTAGACATCAGGTGACACATAGATAGAGCATGACCAATATGGTTCACAACTTGGAATCTAACTAGCCACTTACATCTTAGATGACAAGGTAGTCATGCAAGTTTGAACCAAAGGCTCAATGTCATTCACACCAAATTCAAATTTATGTGCAATGCGCTCCAGATGTCCAACTGCAATCCTGGATGCCATTTCATATCCCTCAGCAATTCGAATTGGATGAATACCACGTTCTAACAACTTTTCAGCTTGTTCAAGAAGTGCTCCAGCCAGGACAACAACTCCAGTTGTTCCATCACCAATCTCATAATCCTGACTTCGGGACAATTCTACCATAAGCTTTGCAATTTGATTGTCAACATCCATCTGCTCCAAGATGGTTGCACCATCATTTGCTGCCATTACAGGAATTATTTAAAATTAAATGAGATAATCAGTAAAGATAAAGTCCAGATTCTCACTGTTGCATCCAAAATATAAGCAGCAAGGGCAAAGAAGTGCATTCATGACTAAAAGAATTCAAACAAGTATACAATATATTTCAATGAGTACTAATATCCCAAGTTAAGATCATAGCTTCTCATTTACTCTCAAGGAGTCAAAGGCATTAGATGCAAAATGTATTCAAATAATGAAATCAAGCAGCAAATATACTTATAAAGCCATTATTTAAATAATGAAAACAAACCCCAACTTCTAAAGCCCCCCTATATCACATTCAATACACCTCCTTTTCAAACTTCAAGCTCATATTATGTAGAAAATCAAGCCCATTTTAATCATGATTTCCAGGGGCAACTAAGCATTTCACAATACCAATGTCAGAACTTAACATCTGGCTTCCGAAAAATTAGCACAAACAAGCAAATACCTAAGCACTAATTCACAACAAAATAAACCAATTCTGAATCTACAGCTCTAAATCGCATTAAACACTAACACATACTTAATATCTAACACCATTTATCAAATCGAACTCACAACACTCATTGATTAAGAGTACTAAGAGAAAATCAAGGAGAGAGTAACAGACTGATGGTGACGTCGCCATCAGGGCTCTGAAGCATCTTGTCCATGCCTTTGGGGCCGAGAGAGGTGCGGAGGATGCGAGCGACTGCCTTTCCGGCAGAAATGTTGGCCTTCTGAGCATCGAGGCCTCTGAGCCTCATCTTCTGCTCCTGCTCCTTGATTATTATGAACGGCCTTCCGAACTCATCGAAAGCCAAGGCCATTGCTACTCGCTCTCGATCTCGATCGGATTCACAACTTCTCTTCAGAGACTCCGAAAGAGAAAAGAACGATATAGTGTGACGCTCAGTGTGGCGTAGAAAGTTCCTGAAGGGTTTGGTGTTGCCCTAGGCAAAGTAGGAACTTAAACCCACGGCCCTTGAATTAGAATATTAAGACAAAAATACTACGGAGTATTCATTTCGTTACTAGTTACTACTTACTAGTTGGGGTCTCCTTGGTTTCAATTGTTATATCGTGAATAGTCTATACTGTCGTGTGAATTATGGTTCAAAATGATATTATTTGTTTAAATGAAAAGAAATGATGATAAATTAATTGTGCCTCTGTGTTGTGCTCATTTGTTTTTTTCTACCAATAAGCTGATAAAGTTAGGCCCTTAATAGGAACAAACTAATGTTGGTGTAAAAACATGTAGGGAAAAAATTATTACGGTCAAATATCAACACACACTTGCAAAATAAAGAGTTCATAGTACAACTAAAATTCAATTATATACACAGTAAGACAAATCTAAAACTTCCTACACCATAATCTAATTGAATGACGCGGCCCTCTATGCTACCACCAGTAACTCAATTGCACATAACACACTATCAATCAAAAAAAAAAAAAAAAAGACAAATACTGAAGATGAAGACAACGACAATTCTACCTAATGGAGAATATGATTAAGAAGATTTAAAGATATTTAAACCAAAAGTAGTATTTATTTAGACTATCGCTTTTAGACTAAATATTTAGACTAACGTTATTACAAAGTTGCAAACATTTATTTTAGTGACAATTATAATCAATCTCGATCTCACATATTATCTTGCATTTATATATACATTGAATTGCTGATTAAAATAAACAAATTCAATATTCAATTATTTATGCATGAACATAATTTTACATTGATTGATATACTTTAAAATATTTATTTAAAATTAATCATTGAGCATTCGGGCAATTACACTTGGAAAATTAGTTTAAATATAAAAACGAAAAGCAAGTTTTTGGCTTTGTTACATCTCTCGCGCACTATTGTTATATCTCCAAACATCATAGTAAGTGTGTTCTTTTTCTTTTTCTTTTTTCTAATGTCATTGTTGCAAGCCTAATGCTTTCATTAAAGGTGATAATATTGTTATCCTATAGGTAATATTTCATTCCTTGCTAAAATGAATTCAAAAAAGCAGACACAATAAAGCAAAGTTTTAATAGTTTATTTATGAGTTATTATGTTTTTGTATCTTTTTTTTTTCTTTCCGTAGAGTGGCAATTTTTTTTCTTCTTTCTCGTTTCTTCTGTGCGTAGAGAGTCTCTAGGGTTTCCCTTGTGATCTCTGTGTCATAGTGCGAGAACGTTTTCTCTTTTTATCTTTTTGTATTGTGCGACTATGGAGAAAGGGAGTGCAAGTGCTTTGGCTGAAGCATGTGAAGCTTTATCAATTGGTGATAACGAAGAAGGAGTGGTTATTGAAGTTGATGATGTGGTAACGCCGACGTTTGATTTTTGTTACACTATCGTTGGTAGGGTGGTTACTGAACGCCCGGTGAAGTATGTGGTTTTCCGTGATGTCATGGCAACAACCTGAATAAAAAAGAAGGAACGCCAAGGCCCCCCAAGCGAATAAAAGAAACAATATCCAGGGCGGATCGGTCATGTGCTCTCATGAAGTCGGATCAGGTCAGGAACATATACGTGCCACCTATAGAGATAGATCCGAGCATATACTTGATTCCTATAGACTGGTAGGTCAGTGATATTTCCTATCATTATGAAATTAATAATAATTACATAATGACTACAATTTTTTGTACTTAGATAAGATTAGTAATTATTCTTTAGTTGTAATTTAATAAGATGAAATAATTTATGATTACTTTTATAGTCAAATTATTTATAAAATAATATTATTCAGTATGTAAAAATTTTAAAAAATAAATATAATGATAATATGCTTGAAAATAAAAGAGAATGATAAATTGTTTTGTTCATAACTTTGATTCATTTAACAAATTAAGTTCACCATACATGTTGTCATGAATGTAATATTCAACCGACCGTGAATAAATATTCTCAACATTATAGTTATCAATCAACATCATTAGTACGACATTGTCCTGTGTATTAAATAATACATCATCTCTTGCATCAATTTGAAAATATGTTTCTATTTTATCCCACAGTTGCGTGAATAATGTTGCATCGAAGTAGAGCTCTACTTTTCTATTTCCAACAATTAGTTTTAAAGTGTCATTGAAGACGTCAGAGCTGTTGAGAAATGTACACAAGAAAGCATGCTATAAAAATGTTGGTTCGTCTTTATGTGCCATTTCGACAATAAAGAAACCTCGACTATTCCATTTTTGCATATGTGTCGCATGCTTTACACTCCAATCATCATTTGTTTTACCCGAACGACCGTTTGTGTCATGCAATTTTTGACTATATCACACAGGAACTGGGACATCTTAAAGGCCGTGAAATTGCCTACAGAACCGCTCAAGGTAATGATACTCAACAATGTAAAAGAAAATGAGCGGTACCTGGCTGTCCAATACTCTTGCCCAACTTTGCAATAACAAGGCAAGTTAGGCAAGACGTTATCGTATTGGAGTGAAATTAAACTGCAAAACAAATTCAATGTCGTGATGTTAAAATTTTATTTATGTTATGCTATGTAAATATATATTATAATGCTAAAATATAAACATAATATTATAGTAACTCACTTTGCTTGCACTAACTTGATCCAATTGGTCTTGATAAGCTCGTACCACGTGTCCGGGTACAGAACGCCATGAATGCGGACAATTTCACCTATGTTTCAAAATACAACAATAAGTACTTCACATATAATACAAATTCATAATTTTAATCATACTTGTTACAAACTTACAACTAACATTGCTGCAAGTGGCAAATGACCAAGCATTTCGTTAGGCAAAACGCCTTGTGGCCTAACCATAGGCAGCTTCTCCCATGTTCAAATTTGCACCAAAATTAAGCATCTGCATACAGTCGATGTTTCGTAATGAGCCACTTTTCACAACGCCATGTACAAATACGCTAAAACTGTCGATCCCCAACTGTATTGACCTATACTTCAAAATCACGAATAAACTCTAACAAAAATAATTTCATATCTTTTTCCATTGTTTCGGGGAATAAAAATCATCCTAATAAGTGAAAGATAAGTATCCACGTGACATCTTGAACCTCAATATCTGAGTTGTTCGCGATTAGTTGTGATACATTGGGTACGGTTGTAGAAAAAACCTTACTAGTTGTAAGGAAAGCTTTGAGAGGTTGAATTCAAAAAAAAAAAAAAAAAAGTCTTCCACTCTTGGACAGACCCCACTTATCACCTCATGTAACTGGTATGTCATTCACCTTCAATCCGAATAACAGTTCAATATCTTGAAGTGTTATGCCCACTCACCGAAGGGCATGTGAAAGGCGTGGACCTTCGGACGCCAACGCTCTATAAGGGCGACAATTAATGTGTGGTCCATACTTCATATAGTATTATTTAGGTATTACAATCATCTCATAGGTTTCAGAATGATTTATAACTGCAATTTAGTTCCGAATGATTGTAAACCCTAAATAGTAGAAACTATAAAATGAGTATCATGTATGTATACATATAATGAAGCTTAAACATAATGAACCTTGCTACTCTGTAATAAACGCCTCTACATTTCATTAGCATTTAGTGTCTTGAACGTTTAGTTTTGCTGTGAAACATTTTTTTTTTGAAAACCAAAACTCACTTCACATTAAGCAAACAAAGAGAAAATTTCAATTTTGGTCCACTGACTATTGAAGTTGTGTTAATTGCAACACTTGACTTTCAAAAACGTTAATTTAGTACCTTGACTATGCAATTTCTATCAATTTGGTCACACCGGCCAAATTGACGGTCAAATCTCACCGGAAAATTTTAATAGGTCAAATAATGAGGGTATTTTAGTCATTTTACTTCCTTTTCTTTATTCTCCGATGAGCTCTCTCATTTTCCGGCGACAATTTCTTCTCGGTGTCTACCTTGTCTGTATGGCTATACTCGTCATCATCCTGCTCTCTCTCCTCATCCTTGCCTTCGTCGTCACTCGTCTTGGCTGAGAAACCACATCATGATTCACGAATTCGGATAGTTGGGGGAAGATAAGGGCTTGTTTGGTTGACGGTGATATTTGCCCCAAGCTTAATAATGAGTTTTTCACTGTTGAGTAGTTCTTCGCCGCTCATCTCTCTACTCTTCAGGTAACCATCAATTTCGCTCCTTGCAAGCAATTTACTCAAACAATAACTGTTTGGTTTCTTTATTGCATCCAATTATACATTTGGAAAGAATTGGGATATGTAGCTTTTTGTTCACTTCAAGAATGTGCAAACGCGCAACATTAGTTAGTGCTCAATAATTGATTGCTTGATATATACACAATTTCTTTAGCAGATATAACGTCGGAGAAGAAATCGTGCCGGAAATGGAGAGAAGTTCATCGGAGAAGAAAGAAAAGTGAGAAATGACTAAAATACCCTCATTATTTGACCTATTAAATTTTTCCGGTGAGATTTGACCGGCAATTTGGCCGGCGTGACCAAAATTGATAGAAATTGCATAGTCAAGGTACTAAATTAACATTTTTGAAAGTCGAGTGTTGCAATTAACGCAACTCCAATAGTCAGTGGACCAAAATTGAAATTTTCTCAACAAATAAATTATTCATACAAACCATATCAGAAACAAAACGAGGAATAAAATCTAAACATTCAAGCTTCCCATCCCCCTCATTACAGAAAGCCCGCTTTGCCAAGGAATGGACAAGAATATTTCCACCACGCTTAACAAAATAAAAATGAACCATTGGAAGCTCCATCAAGAGTAAACGGATGTTATGAACAATGGCCCCAAAAGGAGTAATATTCACTCCACTCTGCACAGCTCGTGTCACAATTTCTGCGTCAGTTTCAAGAATAACATGTTGTCACCCTTTCTGCTTGATCCAACTCAACATCTTCATGAACCGAGTACCGACCATCCATAACAAACATCATAATCCCAGGCACAGAACCCGCAACATCATGTAAACTCCGCCCAAAACCCATTTTCCGATCCCCATGCTGCATTGCTACATCAATATTTAGCTTGAGAAACGGTGCAGGAGGAGGCTCCCGACGAACATTTTGATTCGGCTGCATAGTGTTTCGAGAAGGGAGCAGACCATCACCATGTATAGTTTTCCAATTCTGAGCATAGAACGCTGCATGGTAAACTAGAGTACGAGCATCTTTACATTGATTCTTCCATACCATCGAATTTATGTTATCCCATATTTCCCAACATATAACAACAACTTTCTCGAGCATTTCACTGGGCAGTACATCCCACATCTCCTCAACCCACGTAGCAATAGAATTAACATGATTAAGATTCTAGCTATCATTCAGGGCATGCCAACACTCATGAGCAAACACATAATTAGCAAAAAGATGAACAACGGATTCATTAGCCCTTCCACACAAAGCACATATCGGATCACAATTAACCTGTTTAACAATCAAAACATCCTTAGTAAGGAGTCTCAAGGTACACAAAGTCCAAAAAAAACACTTCACTTTTGTTGGAATATTCAACCTCCACAAATCTGGCCAACCACTGTCTAACTCCCTCATCTCACACCCCTTTGCAATCCTATACCCACTTCGTACCATATACATCCCCCTTTCCTCACCCTTCCAAAACATACAATCATTAACCCCGGAAGAAGGAATAGGTAAACTAAAGATAAGTTGAACATCCCGTTGACAAAAAAGATCTCTCAACAAGGCATAGTCCCAATTATGAGTACTCAAATAGAAAAGAGAGTCAACTGTAGGGTTATTAAGGTAACCATATTCAAGAGTAGAGATATACGAGTTTTTGTCGTCCGGAAGCCACAGGTCTCCCCACACCCTCACCTAACCCCCATCCCTAATTCTCCACCTCATTCCCTCCTCAACAATCCCTGGGATTCCCTAATACTTGTCCACACAAAAGAAGGGTTATAACCCCCTCTCGCTTCAATGATGGAACAATCTGGAAAGTACTTTAGTTTAAAAACTTTTGACACTAGAGCTATTGGGTCAGTTAAGAATTCCCACCCCTGTTTCCCTAACATTGCCAAATTCATCTCCCTCACTGTCCTAAAACCCATTCCCCCAAACCTCTTTGGTTTACACAAATCAGCCCACGTACTCCACCGAATCCCTTCTTCACCCTTTCACTCACACCCCCACCAAAAAGAATTCATGAGCCTCTCCACCTCATCACAAAGACCCTTAAGGAGTAAAAAGACATTCATTGAATAATTAGGAATGCTTTGAAGAACAATTTTTAACAAAACCTCACAACCCCCTATAGACAGGAAATGGTTATCCCAATTCATAATTCTAGCACTAACCTTATCCCGGACAAAACCCAATATTTCTTTCTTCCTCTAACCCACATAGCCCGGTAAACCTAAATATCCCCCCCCCCCCCACCCGTACTGTTCATGCACCCCCAGGAGTTCACAAACAGCCTCATTATCCTCTTAGTGAACATTCATCCCAAACACTATAGAGGTCTTATCTAACTACGTACTTTGCCCACTCGTTATCCCATATTCACTAAGGATATTCCTCATTACCCTAGCCTCAAGACTATTTGCCTGGAAAAAGAAAAGACAGTCATTCGCAAAAAATATGTGGGAAATAGCCGACGCACCCCTTGCTACCCTCACCCCATGAATAGCACCCGCCCTCTCCTATACCCGGATCATCGCAATTAAACTCTTCGCCTCTAGATAGGATGATTGAACCCACTCCTTCCCCTCAACTAACAACCGATACTGCATAGTAGACACACACTCCTCCATCAACCTAGCCCAATGAGCACTAAAACCCATCCCCCGCATAACCTTACCCAAAAAACCCCACTCCACTCGGTCATAGTCCTTAGTCCTTACTCATATAAACTTTTAAATCCCCATACCCTCTTTTACTACCCTTTTGCCTATTCAAAGAATGGACCGACTCAAAAGCAATCAGAACATTATCCACAATCGACCGACCCTGAATGAAACACTTTGATTACAAGAAATTACAGAATTCAAGAGACCCCTCAAACGATTAGCTAAAACTTTGGCAAGAATGTGGTAAATAACATTACATAAGGAAATAGGGCGAAAATCAGACATAGACTCAGGGGTTTTAATTTTTGGGATTAGAACAATATGAGTATCGTTTATATGTTCGGGTAAAATTCCAGTAGAAAGAAAATTCAGGCAAAAAGAGACTACATCATCTACCAAGATATCCCAATGCATCTAGAAGAAAGCCAGTGATAAACCATCCGGGCCCGAAGATTTATCCGGATACATCCCGAAAATAGCCGCCTTTGACTTCATCAACAGACACTACCTCGAAGCATCATCTCATTCTGCTCATCATCGATGGTGCGCTCCAAACAGTCTAGGACTGGTTTCCCATCTCCCTCATTGGCCAAGAACAGATTAGAGAAAATAGTCCACCATTACACTTCACATCAACGCCTCATCGGACACCACCTCACCAGTATGAGTCTGCAAGCTCTCAATTTTATTTCTTCGCCGTCACCGGTTAATAACCGAATTGTGGAAAAATCGTGTACTAAAATCCCCCCATTGTACCACCATTCCTTTGCCCTTTGCCTCCACCTTTCACTCTGGCTTTGTAGAAGAGACATATACCTCCGTTGGACCTCCTTAAACTCCCTCATACTGCCAACATCTCTCCTTCCCCTCAACCGTCCCACGCACTCCCTACAATTTTTCAATTCCTACATCTCACCTTTACTATACCGTCTACCCCAATCCTCTACTTTTTTTGCACACTATGCTAACCTATCAACAATATTAGTCCCTTGAGAATTACTCCACGCCCACTAAACCACCCTTATAATCCGGATGGCGACCCCAGGCATTCTCAAACCATTTCCGACGATGAAACACCATCCCTCCCTCTTGCCGAGTAACTAGAAACAACGGCATATGGTTACTACTACTCCCTTCATCCGACCATGCTCTAGCCCCCGGGAACAAATCATGCCACCCTCCCGACACTAAAATAATAAAATCCTATCTAACTTCTCCTGAACCCAATGACTGGTTCCCCTCCCCCTTTTCCAAGTGTACTAGAAACCCTCAAACCCAAAGTTTGACAGCCCACTCCCCCGATCCGCCTCTCTAAACTCATGAAGAAACCATTGAGGATGAGTAACCCTCCCTACCTTCTCCCAATCCCACAAGAGGTTGTTGAAATCCTCCATTATGAGCCGAGGTAAAGAGTTGAGAGAAGACAAGTACCTAAGAATGTTCCATGATTCTCAACGTCGATTGCGATCTAGGCTACCATAATAGCCCGTGAACCTCCAGCTTTGACGAGAAGCAGAAGGGCGAACCACTGTATCAATATAGTGATTTGAGTACCATAATATCCCGTGAACCTACTTATTCATGCAACTGTGGGATGAAATAAAAAAGTAGAGCTCTACTTCGATGCAACATTATTCACGCAACTGTGGGATGAAATAGCAACATATTTTCAAATTGATGCAAGAGATGATGTATTATTTAATACACAGGACAATGTCGTACTAATGATGTTGATTGGTAACTATAATGTTGGTGAACTTAACTTGCTAAATGAATCAAAGTTATGAACACAACAATTTATCATTCTCTTTTATTTTCAAGCATATTATTATTACTAGTATTTTTTATGCGCGATGCGCAAAAAATAGGTTCCCAATATTAATACATTATATTAAAATTTTAAATTTATTTAGATTTTAGATATTTAAATTATTCTAAATAATAATAATATAAATCATTTTTATAAATTTAAATTTATATTTATGTAATAATTAACATATAACTCAAATATTTAATGTGTATATATTATTATTAATGAAGAAGATAAGAAAATATATGGTGGATGCATGTGCATGGTAACAATAGTGGAAAAGATAACGAAAGTTATAACGATAGGGGTATGTTTGTCCAAAATATTTTAATGTACAACCTTTATAGCATAATGTACAAAAAAACTTAACGAAAAAAACGGACATAAATCAGGGGTATAACTTTCATTCACACTTATTATGTTTTTAGATTAGATATTTATTTTTTAAAATTTTTACATAATAAATAATATTATTTTATAAATAATTTGACTATAAAAGTAATCATAAATTATTTCATCTTATTAAATTACAACTAAAGAATAATTACTAATTTTATCTAAGTACAAAAAATTGTAGTCATTATGTAATTATTATTAATTTCATAATGATAGGAAATATCACTGGCCTACCAGTCTATAGGAACCAAGTATATGCTCATATCTATCTCTATAGGTGGCACGTGTCTGTTTCTGACCTGATCCGACTTCATGAGAACACATAACCGATCCGACCTGGATATTGTTCCTTTTATCCACTTGGGGGGCCTTGGCGTTCCTTCTTTTTTTGTTCAAACTCGATCCCTACTTAGAGGGTGTGGCCCCGAGCTCAAGGGATATCCTGAAGCGTGTCCATGGGCGACATCACTCAAACCGAGCACATCCGCTTGAGTCAAGCCTATTGGTCATTTACTAATCTAATACCCTCCAACATGTGGACGCCTTCTCTATAGTCGTCTAGACCGCCGAGTGCATGAGAGACATGTGTCCCCTATAATCCTCTATAAATACCCCGCGAGACACTTGTGAAAGGGACGCTGGGCATTTTTCATATATTGACCTTTAGCTCGGGAACCTCTGACCCACTGCCACATAATCTGAGCCTAAAGACTAAAACCAATAAGCAAACTAGAACATGATCCCTGTGCGATCCAACCCTCATTCCTTACATTTTTGTTGGAATCTTTGTATTTACTACATCACATAACTTTTATGATTTCTAATAATTAAACAATGTTGTAAATTGTTTCCTTTTAGCTCGTAGTGTTCCCCTGTGAAACGGATTATAGTATAACCAACGGAAGAGACAAAATGCAGGGAAAGAAAAGAGATATGTAATTGCAGAGATTTTATTCCAACATCTCAAACTTCAGTACATAATACATGAGATATATAATTACAATTGTAACAGAAAACAATAATGGAGACATAAATACGACCATACACAATAATGTCCATAATAAATATTATATATAACACGCCCCCTTTGACATTATTTTATCATATCATGCCTCGTTAAAAACTCGCTAGAAAAACCTTGTGAAAAAAACCTAGTCGAGAAAAGAGTACAAATGTATGAGTAAATGATGTGTTGTTTTGGCTGTCTCATTAAAAACCTTACCCTAAGAAAACCCTATGAGAAAAAAACTTAGTTAAGGAAAAAATAGTACAACCATAAGCCTTCAAGGCATAATCTCCATTCTCCAGGATTTTGAGGTTTGTTTATTTAAATATTTATTTGCAACTTCCTCAACGATATTAATATATCATACGCATGCCTCGTTAAAGACCACACAAGAAAAATCTAATGGAAAAACACCTAGTGAGAAAAAGAGTACAAGATATATATATATATATGCATTCATGTGTTGCAAAATGGGTACAACTGTTAGTCGTTAAGACTCAATAATCATCAGGATTATTCAAGTCCAATCTTTAAGATTGATTCAAGTAAATCCTACTACCCTTGAATATAACAATCTTCAAGGTCTATATGTTTTAAAATAAAAATATTGTTTCAAAATGAGTGTAGAAAAATAGATATGGTACAATCTTCAAGATTGTCACTAGAATTAACATTTTGTATAAGAATCTCGTGACTCTTCTGGAACTCAAGTGGCTTGAATATTGACGTTATATATTTTGTCTAATATTCTTTAAAATACCCATTTATTATTTGTATAACACAAGCTTTATTGTCCTCATATAGAATAGTGGGGGTAAAGCCAAACATAACATGTTTGAGATTTGGCATCATGGGATCAAATAAAAGAGCCAATATCTAAGTGGCCTATGAAAATCACACATCGATTTATCGCATAAACTTCAAAATCTTGTATAAATCGAAGATATTGGAGGATATTTTGAATACTATTCTAATATTTAATTGTAGGAGGAGCACTAGATGTTGTTAGCAATTTCATTGCAAGAACAATGTCAGGCCTGATGCGATTATGGAATTTCTGGTTCTATAATAGTGCTCCAATAGCAATGAAGGAATGGACTTTCCCAAAATGTTTTCATTACCTTCTTCGAGTCTAAATGGTCCCTTATCTACTACACAAGATTATTAGATAACCGTTAGTGTGATAAGTTAGTGGTACTTATCCATAAAAAACATCGTTAAGACATTTTTTAATGTAGGCTAACTAGTGTGTAAAACTCCTTCAAGGATATGCTTGATCTTTAAGCTGAGATCACAATACTTATATTTCCAAGTCTTTCATTTCAAACTCTGTCTTTAAACACGAGCTAATATGATGAAGCTATTTATGTATTTCAATGATGTTCATAACACCAACACAGATTAAGATAATAAATAAATAACTCCATTAACAACTCTTTAATGAGCACATAATGGCACATATTCCCGTTTACATATTCTTATTTCAACAGGAAATTACTTAGTCAATTGCTTACTACTTCAAGTTATGTAAAGCCTTTGTAATTCAACAACAAATATGTTTCGATTTTTATTTTCTTTCATTCTAAGAATTATAAATCCATCAAGGATTTTTCTAAATAAAAATTAGCGCCTAATGACCCATAATTATGTGGTCATGCTCATTAGTTGCATATCTAAATTTGTTATTTACTGCCAATAATATTATGTAGCGAAATTTAATGACGTCCATTATGGGAGAGTATATTTGATTAAAATCAATTATGGGTATTTGCGTGAACCCGTAGGTTACAAAACTCGCTTTATATCACACCACCTCATCTTTCTTGTTTCTTTTTTTTTTTTATACAAACACTCATTTGTAACGTACCTACATGGTTAACATTTCGATGGTGTACATATTATAAAGAGAATACATTTATTAGTGAGTTTAGTTATATATGTCTTAATTGCTCCTTTTATAAATCAATCAGGGTGCTTCTGGCGCCTAACTCTGGATTCAGATTGTCATTTAATATGAACAATTTTGAAGGCAATTGTGTTGTCGACAATTATTATAATATATATCTCCAACATATATATAAATTTTTATAAGTCAACCAGATTCTTGTCATTTACCAAAGATATTTATACCTGGTTGTTCCGCATCCCAATATTTTGTATTTATTTGGTGCACCTACAGATTTACTGGTGTTCTCGTCTTCTGGACGAACGTTTTAAAAACATAATTTTTCAAGAGTGACGAAAATTTTTTACTTGCCCCAATGAATTTTCTGTCAAAGACAAAGTTAAAAATTGTGCTAATAAGGTAATTTCTCATGTTTTTCTTTGACAAAGTTGAGATCATGTGGGTCGATATTGAATTGAGAGGTTGTTGGAACAAAAGAAAATTAATTACATTAAGGTTTGTTCATTAGTGTTTTATATATATCAGGCAATTTCTTAATGGTTTTTATGTTTTTTTTTTTAAATTTTTTTTACTGTTAGGGAGGTGTATTCAATCATGACTTTCATAGAGTTTTAAAGACTTTTATGAACTTTAAAAGTTTGGGGGTATTCAATTCAAACTTTTAGAGAGTCTTTAAAAGTCAGACGGTATTCAATCAAGATTTTTAAAGAATCTTTAAAAGTCGTGTGGTATTCGATGAAGACTTTTAGAGAGTCTTTAAAAGTATGTGATATTCAAAAAGTACTACGAATAGCAAACTACTGTTCGCAACAACAATTTGGGGTTACAAACAGTAGCACCTTCTTGTTGTTCGCAGTATCTTATTGCAAATAATAGTTCTTTGCGTGATGCCTAGCAATACATATCAAGTATATATATATATATATATATATATATATATATATATATATATATATATATATATATATATATTAATATTAGATTTTTTTATGCAACTTGTAATTATATTTTTAAATATTTTAGTTGATCAATTCTTTTATCATAATTATATTTTGATGTTTATTAATAATATATATATATATATATATATATATATATATATATATATATATATATATATATATATATATATATATATATATATATATATTATTAATAAACATCAAAAAAAAAATTATTTCATTAGAAATTCATAACAATATTGAATAATAAAAATATAAGTCTCAACATACATACTATGGAGATAAATAATAATGTTGATGATAAAGTAGACAAGGACACTCTTGTATTTTTCCCCCTTCCCTAATTCTGTTATAACTCCCATAATATAAAGCAGTAGTTTTTCCCTCCTTTCTGCATTATGATTTTGTATGTTAATACTCTAAACCTTCAGATCTTCTTCCTTGTTCTTCTCTCTATTTGATTCAATGGTGACTGTGTGTGCTTGAGCTCTCTTCAGTTGAGAATGTTACGTTGATGTGAGTGAAGAACTATATAATAAGAAAATTTTATGATATATTATAAATGTTTTGTAAGAAAATTATATAAATGATAAGAATCAAAATCATTGAAAGTTTGTAATGATGTATTTAAGACTTTTGTAGACTTTTTAAAATAAAAAATTGATAAAAGTCTATGAATGTTTTTTATATAGACTTTTATAGAGTCTTATAAAGTTTTAAAAAGTGCTGAACGACTCTATGAAAGTCAATAAAAGTTTATTAAAATCTATTATTTTAAAAGTCTTTAAAACTCTACAAAAGTCATGATTAAATACACCCCCTTAGATTAACTTGGAGGCCAAGGACTGAATCTTTCCTTGACTGCAATTTACTATGTAACTAGAGATAAGATGAGGAGGTATCTTTCTTTATAAAACAAATGCCACTACTTTGCAACTTATCAAAGCTTTAAAACTAAAAGCAGGGGAAAAATATGATGATCATCAAATTAAATGAACTATTATAGAAACTTTTTTAATTAAAATCGAAAAAAGTCTTATGAAAAATACACATTATACTTTTAAATGGTTAAATAATTTGATTTATGTTGTAAATATATCTTTTTATGTGGCCATTATCTTATGATCAATTCAAAGAGTGGTGAGAAGGCTCCCTTTGAAATACTGTTTGGGAAATGAGTGGATTATGATCAATTCAAAGTGTTTGGCTGTCTGTGTTTTGCCTCTACTATTCCTCAAGGAAGAAATAAAATGCAGCCAAGAGCCAAGAAATGCATTTTCCTGGGGATCCCTATCAATGTGAAAGGCTACATGTTATATGATATTGCTAACAAGCAGATTTTCATCTCTAGGGATGTTCAATTTTATGAACACATATATCCTCTGAAAGATCTAAGATCAGAAGCTGATGACAAGTTGATGTTCAATCCTGTATTGCCCTTAATTCCCATTTATACTGAAATAAGTGCAACACCCCTAGAGGATATAGAGGGGACTGATAATCAGAATCTAGTCTCACAAAGAGCTGATAGTCCTTTACCTTACAATGCTGAAAGTATGAATACAAATGTCAGTCCAAGCAATGAATTGCCCACTGAATCATATAGTGACATAGCATTGGAAGAAGAAGTAGTTCAAACAGACATTGTTTAGTCAGAACCAAGGAGGTCAGATAGAGTAAGGCATATTCCTACAAGATTACAGGATTATTACTGTCATTCAATGACCACAGGAACCTATCACAGTGGATCCTCACCACATTCAATCAATAAGGTTATATCATATGATTGTCTATCTCCCAATCATAAAGTTTGTGCATCTTCTATTCTATCTTCACATGAGCCACAATCATACAATGAAGCAGTAAAAGATGAAGCATGGAGGAAAGAAATGAAGTGTGAAATGAATGCCCTTATTGAGAATAAAACATGGACACTTACAGACTTGCCACCAGGAAAGAAACCTATTGGATGCAAATGGGTATACAAGGTGAAACACAAAGCAGATGGTTTTATAGAAAGGCACAAAGCTAGGTTGGTTGCTAAGGGTTACACTCAACAGCTAGGAGTATACTACATTGAAACATTCTCTCCTGTGGCTAGAATGACAACAATAAGAACATTCCTGGCTGTGGCTATTGCAAAATGATGGGATATTCAGCAATTATACATTAATAATGCCTTTTTGCATGGTGATTTACAAGAAGAAGTATATATGATTTTACCTCCTGGTTTTCAGAATGATAATAAGCAGGTTTGCAGGCTACTGAGATCCTTATATGGACTAAAGCAGGCTAGTAGACAGTGGAATGCTAAGCTAACAATGGCTCTGCAAGACATTAGCTTCCAGCAGTCCACAGCAGATCCATCCTTATTTACTAAAACCTTAGACACATCCTTCATAGCTCTCCTGATCTATGTTGATGATATTTTGGTTGTAGGATCAGATTTTCAACAGATTAGCAAGCTGAAGCAGTTCTTGGACAAGACTTTCAGAATAAAAGATCTTGGCCATCTAAACTATTTTCTAGGTCTTGAAGCATTCAGATCATCTAATGGGCTTAACCTGTGCCAGAGGAAATACACTCTTGAAATCCTAGAGGAGAATGGTTTTTTGGATGCTAAACCTGCTCACACACCCATTAACACAGGCCAAAAGCTTACCAATTCTGAAGGGACAATCCTTGATCAACCAGAAATCTATAGAAGGCTGGTTGGGAAGTTGCTTTACTTAACAAACACCAGACCAGGCATTTCATATGCAGTCCAACAACTAAGTCAATTTGTTGACAAGTCTAGAGATACACACCTTGTGGCTGCTCATAGGGTACTAAGGTACCTAAAGGGATCTCCTGGAAAGGGATTGTTCTATCCAACAAACTCTAGAATCAGATTACAAGGCTTTTCTGACTCTGATTGGGTCTCTTGTGCAGAAACTAGAAAATCAGTTACAGGTTATTGTATCTATCTTGGAGAGTCCTTAATATCATGGAAGACAAAGAAGCAAGTCATTGTATCCAGATCATCATTTGAAGCTGAATACAGAGCCCTATCTTCTACAGTATGTGAGATTCAATGACTTCTATACTTGCTAACAGATCTAAAGGTGAAGCCTAACATCCCTACTGCTCTTTTCTGTGATAGTTAGTCTGCTATTGCAATAGGAGAAAATCATGTTTTCCATGAATGCACTAAGCACATTGAGATTGATTGCCATGTTGTCAAGCAAAAGGTATGTGAAGGAGTGATAAAGTTGATGTCCATACCTTCCCAAAAACAGATTGCTGATGGATTCACCAAAGCTTTGCCAAGACAAATGTTTGATAATTTTCATTCTAAGCTGGGTCTTCAAGACATTCATGCTCCAGCTTACGGGGGGGGGGGGGGGGGGGGGGGGGGGGGGGGGGGTGATAAAGTAGACAAGGACACTCTTGTATTTTCCCCCCTTCCCTAATTCTGTTATAACTGCCATAGTATAAAGCAGTAGTTTTTCCCTCCTTTCTGCATTATGATTTTGTATGTTAATACTATCCATGAATAAACCTTCAGATATTCTTCCTTGTTCTTCTCTCTATTGATTCAATGGTGACTGTGTGTGCTTGAGCTCTCTTCAGTTGAGAATGTTACGTTGATGTGAGTGAAGAACTATATAATAAGAAAATTTTATGATATATTATAAATGTTTTGTAAGAAAATTATATAAATGATAAGAATCAAAATCATTGAAAGTTTGTAAGGACGTATTTAAGACTTTTGTAGACTTTTTAAAATAAAAAGTTGATAAAAGTCTATGAATGTTTTTTATATAGACTTTTATAGAGTTTTAAAAAGTTTTGAACGACTCTATGAAAGTCAGTCAAAGTTTATTAAAATCTATCATTTTAAAAGTCTTTAAAATTCTATAAAAGTCATGATTGAAACACCCCCCTTAGATTAACTTGGAGGGCAGGGACCAAAACTTTCCTTGACTGTAATTTACTATGTAACTAGAGATCAGATCAGATGAGGAGGTATCTTTCTTTATAAAAAGAGATGTCACTGCTTTGCAACTTATCAAAGCTTTAAACTAAAAGCAGGGGAAAAATATGATGATCATAAAATTAAATGAACTATTATAGAAACTTTTCTAATTAAAATAGAAAAAAATCTTATGAAAAATACACATTATACTTTTAAATGGTTAAATAATTTGATTTATGTTGTAAATATATCTTTTTATGTGGCCATTATCTTATTTTCTAGGATGATGTATGCATGGTATATGATTTTTACTTATGTTGTATTTGCACTACTGACACGATTTTTAAAAGGTTCCGAGTTCTCGTATTCAACTGGTTCTTCTTCTTCTCTCTCTGGGATCTTTTAAATTTCCTCTTTATGTTTCTATATTTTACAACAATTTATTCTAGATAATTTTTCATTGTAAAATAATCCGTACATTACAAATTTAAATACCCTCCATAGTTCTTCATTTTCAAGTTCAAAAAGTACGTGTACAGAAGTTCATTAAATTCTCTCTATCCTCTTAAACTCTAGCTTTCTTGTGCTTCATTAATTATATTCTTCACATACTCCTTTTGCGAAAGAGTCAAACAAGTTAAGCCTACTCTTGTTCTACGCCATTGAATCCATAGATTTGGTAGTACTATAATGAGCTAGTGTGTAAGCCACCCAAGCTAGGGTTTATTGATTGAACCTTAAAAATCAATAGCTATTGGATTCCATCACCTAATTAAAGTTCACAATACTTTGGGTTACTTAATTTGTTAGTAATATGTGTAATGTATAGAATTTGATGATGTCATAAAAAGTATAACGTTGAAAGTTTATCACCATTACTATATATAAAAGATAAAAGATATTGAGTTCAAAATATGAATAATTAGTATAGTTAAGGGAATCCCTAACACATCCAAATAAGAAAATAATCCGTAGAACAGTTTAAACTAGGAATGTAAAACATTTTCAGGGCAGCATGCAAATCTAAGATCTACCAATAATATATAGTACACAGTGGTAGAATCCAAACAAAAGATCTAGTACGAAGAACATAGAATGTCTTTTGATAAAAAGAGCTATTAATTAATTAAGCACACTCTTCTAAAAGAGTTGTAACAAAAACATCAAAAATCTAACTAAAATACTTATCTCGTCAAAAGAAAAGCATTATATTACTGAAAGTGTTAGACCATCAAAAGAGGCCTAACATCATAAAAATGTTGAAGAAATATTGTCCTAAAGATCTAAAAAGAGTGTTGAGCTCGAAAACATGAAGAAGATAAAGGTAAATAGTTTCAGGGTTAAAATTGCATTTTTCCCATTAAATTAAATAATTATTGTCAATTATTCAAATTGTTTTTTATTCAAGAAATCATCAGAAAATTAATTAAAACAAGAAAGAAATACACCAATATATATGATGATTATGATTATATTATATTGCCACAATGATCAAGTCATGAGGTTGAATTAAATTAAATTTCACTCAATTTAAAAGAAGAAGGAGGCAGCGACGGTGGCGCCGACGACGGTGGCGGTAACAGCAGAGGCGGCGGCCCTGACAGTCATAGTGGCACCGCTACTGGGTGTCCCAGCGGGGGCGAGGCTTTCGTAAATAGAAGCAGGAATGGGCCCACCAACAGGCGCGGCGGTAGTTGTAGCGCCTCCATCGAGGGTGCCAACGACACTGTTGTTGGCCGCCGCCGGAGCTTCGCTCGGCGGAGCGCTCGCCGGAGCATCGCCGGCCGCCGCCATGCCAACAATGGCAAAGAAGAATAGAGCAAAAACAACAAATTTACTTTGGGCCATTATATTATATTATTGGAACTTTAATTGTTTAATGGCTCTAAATGCAGCGATTCTCTTGACGAGGCTAGAGAGAAAAACCTGCAATAGAGAAGAAAGTGGAGATTTAAAGTTTATATAGAGCTAATGTAGGGTGGTTATTCATATGAATGCACAAAAATATGCTTTTCATTTTTGACTTGGGACTTTGAGGTTTTAATTTGCAAAGTTTAAGGATTAACACAGAGTGGCTTGTGGCATGGATTATTGATTATATTGCTCTTAGCTTGTTGTTTTGATGTTTCATTTATATTAATGTATAAAATAAAATATTATTTTATCCTTCTAATTTCTTCTTCTTTTTTACTTTCATTCTCTAATTATGTTGTTTTTGTTAACAAAATATTAGTAATTAATGTGTTAGTTGTAAACAAATAAATATGGGCATATATAGGAAGTTACCTTATCAATTTGGCCTCACATAAAGAAATCCTCAGCACCATCGAAATGGAAGGAAGGTATTTGTATGGAGAGCAATTAACCACTGGGATCTTGCCAACTACTATACGGATAATCTGAGGAGGAAAGATGTAGATCAGAGATCCCCACCGTTTGTGCACTGCCTATGTTTGGCGGTTGGTTGGAGGGGGTGGCGTCAAGCTGCAATTCGATGATCTTTGTTAAGATCATGGCCTGGGAATTCTCCACGGAATCTTGTGCGTTATAACGGCGGGGAATGGTTCTTTCGTGGCTGCCATTTATGGTGCTCCTTCGATTCTAGGATGGCGGAAGCCCTATGATGGATTAAGGACCGAGGCTACACCAACGCTCAAGTCCAAGTGGATTGCATGGCTGTATATACGGAAAATGTTACATGTACTCCCACACACAAAACCTAACACTTTGTATTGGGATTCATATAAAAAAATAACTTATCAGAATCCGTCATGGAGTAAGATTAGAGAGTACATGTAGTAGAACTCCTGTATATACCAATCTCTTGAAGGGCAGGATGGATATATCTTATCATTCTTATATTGGTTTAATCATTTGTGATGCTTTAACCGGATGTGTGGTTCGTTTTGTTTGTAGAAGTTGTTAGAAAAAATAGCTTAAAATAGTATATTAAGTGGCTATTTTGTGGTACAATTATCAGTAGGGTCCACTTCCGATTTGGATCGGGTCAAACTGGATTCGGGTTTTTCGTAGTCAGACGAAAATATTGACATATTGTACGCTCAAAATGGATAATGGGTGAATGAGATATTGATTCTCAAAATATAACCCATTTGAGTTGGAAAAGTGAAGGGAAAAAGCTTGGGAGTAGCTTTTTGTCCCACATTGGCTTGGAAAGTGAGTTTGCACCACTATTTATACAAGAACCTTTCTAAGGTTTATTGAATTATATAGTATAGAGGTTCTCTTTCCCACGCAAGGGGGTGCAAATCAAATCCCAAAATGAAGATTAAATTCATCTTCCATTACGGAATTAATCTTGCAAACTGATTTTTATATCCATTTTAAATGCCAAAGTAAATGCTATTTGATCCTCAAGCCCTATATAAGAAAGGGTAGAGTAGTAGCACTTTTTTGCTATTTGACCCTCAAGCCCTATATAAAAAGGGGTAGAGTAGTAGCATTTTCTTACAAGAACAAGTACACATACTTACACGTTTTTCCTGCTCCAAAAATCTATGCTTCTACTCCTTTCTTAGCCTATTGTTTTCGAACTTTTGCTCTAGTTCGCCGGGTTCAAAGTTTGGGTGCTCAAACGATTGAACCATAGTACGTTTTATCCTGGGAAACCTAGGCTACAACGCTCCTACACTTGTGGGAGGTAGCAAATAAGGTTTTAAGGAAAGAGGGTTTCGCTCGACTCGCACTAAACCTCTTCCCTCGGTATCCTTTCGTTCTTCCATCACATCCGATCATCCTTCCCATTTTTCCATAAAATAATAATCTTTTGATAGGATTATTATTGAATTTTTACCAACACAATATCCAATAGTTGTAATCAAGTCGCTCACATCTTAGCCAAGATGGAAGTGGCTCGTGCTAGGCGTCATAGTTGAATTGGTTTGATGTATCCCGGAGGTTATTAGTTCAGTGATGGCTTAATATAAGTTTTTTTTAAAGCTTAGTATAAGTTTATTTCTCTACTTTCAATATATATATATATATATATATATATATATATATATATATATATATATATATATGTATGTATATATTGTTAGGAATAAAGTGTAATGGTTTTGATATGCCAAATTTGTATTTGTAGATCCCCCAATTTTATTTCATAGGTCTAGTAGAGTCTTAGACCATGATCGGGAAATTATTTAATTATCAAAAGAGAAAAACAGAGGAAGATGCATGAAATTGGAAGAAGAGAATATCAAGCCGAAAATCAAGAATTTGTCTGGAGAAAATGACAAATTGAAGAAGAAGATGAATGATACAATATTCACGTCGCTACTACTCAAAGAAGATATCCCAGAAGAATTTTCGTGAAGAAAATTAATGTTGGAAGAATGCATGAAATTGACTTGGAGATCAAGCATCTATGGAAAGAAAGAAGTACATCAAATATGATTGGAGATTTAATCAAAAGCTGTACGGACAAAGTGGATGATGCTTGATATATTATCCGAAATGGCTTAAGTTCAAAACTCACCATCAACAATTTTACAAGGTAAAATTTGAGAAGTCAAATTAAATTAATCTGATGGAGTTGGGCGCCAGTTTAAGCTTTGGGCGCCGTCGATTACAAGTGGAAATTGGGTGGCAATTGAGATGCAATTGCACTTGGGAGCCGATTTCATAGAAATTGAAATTGGGAGCTAGTTCGAAGCAATTGAAATTGGGAGCTAGTTGATTAATTGAAATTGGGAGCAAGTTTCAAATGGAATCAATTCAAGTTGGGAGCAAGTTTCAAATGGAATCAAATTGAAATTGGGAGCAAGTTTCAAATGGAATCAATTCAAGTTGGGAGCAAGTTTCAAATGGAATCAATTCAAGTTGGGAGCCAATTCAAGTTGTAGTATGGGTTGAAATTGGGAGCTAGTTGATTAATTGAAATTGAGAGCAAGTTTCAAATGGAATCAATTCAAGTTGGGAGCAAGTTTCAAATGGAATCAATTCAAGTTGGGAGCCAATTCAAGTTGTAGTATGGGATGCAATTCAGATTGGAATCAATTCAAGTTGGGAGCCAATGTAGAATTGAAATTGGGAGCCAATTCAAGTTGTAGTATGGGATGCAATTCAGATTGGGGACCAATTAAAAGAAGACATTGAGGAGCAATTGAATTGAGATGAAATTCAAAGAGAAGTCCAATTTCGAAGTCAACATTGAGAAGTAATTGGAGCACCAGGAGATGTTGGGAGCCAATTGCAAGTCAAAGTCAATTGGGAGCCAATTACAAAGGAAGTCAACATTGAGAAGTAATTGGAGCACCAGGAGATGTTGGGAGCCAATTGCAAGTCAAAGTCAATTGGGAGCCAATTACAAAGGAAAAATTCAATTTGGGTGCCAATTACAAGCCAATTGAAATTGGGTGTCAATTACAAAGGAGAAATTCAAATTGGGTGGAAGTTCAAAGCCAGTTTGAAGTCTGAGAACACCCAGACGTGAGAATGAAGAAGATGAAGCAGAACTTACAGTGAAAAATATTCTCACAAGGAAAATACTAGTCTAACTAGTATGGGATTAAAATAAAGATTATTTTTGAATCCCAGAGATACAAGGACCACTTCAGAGCTAATCAGAGAAGCCATTCTACACCAAAACTGAGACCCAGATATTTCCATTCAACGTTAAAACAGATGAATATCAGATGAAGTTTGGGAGCTCATTTACATGGAGATGAAGATCTTTCAAACGGCTAGCTTATCTCTTTCTGACATTTTTGCAGAAGATAAGATAAGATCTCTGACATGGGAGCGTCTCTTTCCAACGGACGAATTCTCATCACCAGCTATAAAATGATGAAGATATGAAGACTTGAAGAACAGAAGTGAATAAGAGCAGTAGAGCAGAACACGAACTCACGAACAAGAGAGCAGAAAATTCGAATCCATCAAAGGATCGAATAGAGCAATTAAGCTTAAAAGAGCTAAAATCTTCAAGTGTGAGAAAAAGAACTCAGAGAGCTTCAAGAGAAAAATATTCAGAGAGTTCTTAAACAGAGCAAAGCAGAGCAAAAATATCAAGTGCTTTACTTGATATATTCAAAGAGAGAAAACACTCAGAGCTATCAGGAGAAATCTTTCCAGAGTGTTTATCTTCATCAAAGAGACCTGCGCATCATTGAAGATCAACTACAGAGTCTCAGAAGTTGGAAGCAAGACAACACTTGTTTTGGAGCAAAACAAGTGAAGGGAGGAAAGTAGCACGGAGCTGTGAAATCCTGGATTGTCACACGGAGCTGTGAGATCCGAAGCAGCAGTGTCGGAGGCACTGGGCGTGATTGGTGTGGGCTTGGTGATCAAAGCACCAGATCACGGGATACGTTTCTACCGGAGTGTGGAAGACGGGGGGAAAGTAACGCGGAGTCGTGAAATCCTGAGATAGTAGCGCGGCGACGTGAAACCCGAAGCAGCAGTGTGGTGTCACTGGGCGTGATTAGTGCGGGCTTTGTGATCAAAGCACTAGATCACGGAATTCATTGTATCTTGGAACCAAGGAGTGGTAGATATAGTGAATTGGCTCTTGGAGAAAAGAGCAAGTGGAGTAGGAGGATTACACCACCTCGCGAACCACTATAATTGTCTTGTGTTCTTTACTGCTTTCTTTACATACCGCTCTTTATATATTTGCTCTCACGAAGATATACTGCTCACACAATCTCACACACACTTTATGTTTAATTATTTCCGCTGTGCACCATACTCTAACAATCTAGTTATGAGTTTTGGTTTATCTCTGTCTTAGCAATTGTTGTGTTGTGCGAAAAAAGTTTGAAAGTCTATTCACCCCCCCCCCCCCCTCTAGACTTTCACCCTACCTCTTTTGGGACCAACATATATATATATATATATATATATATATATATATATGTGTGTGTGTGTGTGTGTGTGTGTGTGTGTGTTGTATATATATATATATGTGTATATATATATATATATATATATATATATATATATGTGTGTGTGTGTGTGTGTGTTGTATATATATATATGTGTGTGTATATATATATATATATGTATATATATATATATATATATATATATATATATATATGTATATATATATATACATAGATATATATATATATATATATATATATATATATATATATATATATATATGTGTGTGTGTGTGTATATATACATAGATTATGTATATATATATATATATATATATATATATATATATATATATATATATATATATGTGTGTGTATATATATATATATATATATATATATATATATATATGTATGTATGTATGTATGTATGTATGTATGTATGTATATATATATATATATATATATATATATATATATATATATATATATATATATGGGCATATATACCATATGGCTTTTATTATGATTATGATTATGATTATCTTTTTCATCATTTAGATTTATATATCATATTGGATTGAATAATGAATAATAAAGATCTATGACTATTTTTTCCCTATATCTCATCTTTTCCCTTTAATCTATTAATTGAATACTATTATATTTATTACATTCCCGAGATGAGAACAATTAAATGATTCACGCAAAGAACGTCTCAATTTTCAACACTTTATCAATACGAATTGCTCTATATCCTTAAAAAAAAAACATTATGGGGAGGGGGAGACCGACCCTAAGGCAAGTTAGAGTGGTAGTATAGTTTCTCAATCGCTAAAGACCCCCATCTTATCTCTATGAAAAAGCTCTAGTACCAAATCTCGGAGGTCTAATGAATCCATGCAATTGCCCTATATCTTCGGTGAACAATATTTTTCTTATCATTTTACATCCGCTATAATTATATATCTTGGTAGTTAAATTTTGAATATGGTGTGACATGTTTTGAACACCTATCACATGTTTATAAAGCATAGGCGGTTTTACTCTTAATTTAATTTGTTTGTTTTCGATCATCAATTAAGATCAGTTTGTGTGTGCCAAATGCTTATTGTGATTACTCTGGGAATCGATCACTTTTTAAGATGAATTTTACGTATTACATTGTAACAAAGTCAATAATACTAAAAAAAAAAAATAGGCAAAGTATTTTGAAAATTTTGAATCCGAAGGGCATACATATAGATTGACTTCCTCATATATTGATGTACTAGTTATAAGTGCGCGATTAAATTAATACCGAATACAAAATTAATTAAAATAAGTAAATATTTAGTATAATTTTTAAATATCAAATTTAAGTAATATAAAAAAATTGATTATTTTCAACTTAATCAAAGTGAGTATTTTAAACTTATAATAAAAGTATTAGTAAAGATGAGTAAGGGTGTACATAATTATAATCAAGAATAAAAATTATGTCCTAATAATTTTAATATTAGAATACATTAAATCTTCTTAATGCGATATTAATGAGTCAGTAAAACTTAACTTCTTTTTTTTTTCTTTTTTTTTTTTGTTAAAAGTGACATTAATATTATAATAAGTTTACTGATGTTGTCGAAAAGTAATTAAAAAGCTATACAGTGAAATTATAGCATACGAATTCATAAGTTTTTCTTAGGTATATGATTGAGACATCAATTATCGTTATATGTGAACTATTCATCTTGAAAAGACTCAATGATATTTTAAAATATTAATTTTTTTTCTTATAAGATTGATTAGATAATGAAATTTTTGCATTTAAATTCTTAAAGTCGAGAGAAATTTTGTCTCATACATAATAAATCAACTTGTAATAAAATGTACATTTTAATTAAAGTAATATAGATTTAGAATAAGAAATTAAAATTTGTGCTACTACAACAAATACTGTTTAGTTTAATAAAAAAGAAGACAATGTATCCTTAGAATAATTATAGTTTGACATTCATATTCTTTTAGGATGAAGAGTAAAAAAGAATAGCTTTAATTTTTTTTTCTTTTTTTTTTTTGGGAAAAGGGGAATACATCCGAGATCAGTAGCTGATCCTCACAGTGGTTGTCCCGCCAAGGAGACCTAACTCATCGTCACGCAAAGGTCTCTGAATCTCCCTCGGAGGGGTTGCCATTAATCTTAAAGTTTCCTTGTGCTTGCAGGCATGTTTGGCGAGGGCTTCTGCCACACTATTTTGCTCTCTTGGGATATGGTTGATTTGGATCTCCCAGGCTCCATCTTTCGTGACTCTGCACAAAGCAACAAGGTTGCCGGCAGGTCCATCATAGTCTTTAGCTCCGTAAATCATCTTGATGGCTTTCGCACAGTCTGACTCAACAATCACTTTTCTAAAGCCCATCTCCTAGGCCTTTTCCATGCCCATATACATATCCCATAATTCTGCCTCCAACGCTCCTAGGAAGGTGGCATTCTCGTCTCTGAACACTCCTCCGCATGTTGCCAGGTTTCCATTACCAGCGCACCCATCCGTGTTTATTTTAATCCATCCTATGTCCGACGGTTTCCAAGGTTGTTCGCGTCTGTTGTCTCTACTCTTTCTTCCCCTTAGGCCAGAGCTTCTCTCCATTGCTGTTTTAGTTTCTTTAGCTTTTATCCATTGCTGCTTTAGTTTCTTTGAACTGTCGTTGGAGCCATTCCACCTTTTCGTCAATTGCCTTCTCAATCCCGTTGAACACAACATTGTTCCTGCATTTCCAAATCCACCATGCACTGATTGCGAATCTTGCGCTCCTTTTGTTATCCTTGTACCCGCCTTGTTTCCCTGCCACATTAGTTTTAAGCAAAAGATTAAAATCCATAGAGGAAAGCGTACCTGTATTGGCCAGCACGTTGGTACGTCTCCAGACCTCCGCGGCTGCCGGGCAATTTCGAATTGTATGCTCCACATCATCTTTTGGTAAATTATGCCCTGGAAACGTGTTCACCATGAATGGTGAACACGGGTCTAAACTGTGCCGTTTTTACGTTAAAAAAAAATTCGCGAATGTGGTGTTAACGGCGCGCGTTTGGTCAGATTATGAATTTTCTGTTATGAGATTATGAATGTACTGTAAATTCATAATCTCATAACAGAAAATTCATAATCGCATAAAAGAAAAACATTTATTAAATTATGAATTTTCTGTTATGAGATTATGAATTTACTCATAATCTCATAACAGAAAATTCATAATCTCATAATAGAAAATTCAAAATTTATGAATGTTGAAGAAGCTTGCGCTACAGAGAAGCAACCATGGTTTCGGACGGGAATGTGTAGGCATGGTTCCAAAGTGAATGTGTAGGCATGGATTCATAATTTATGAATGTCCGAAATCATTGCTCACCTCAAATTAAAGTGAAACCGTGAAATGTGAAAATGAAGAAGAAAAGTCACGCGATTAATTAAGGAGAAAAAAAAAGATAACGGTGCACTAACACCGTTGGGACCGTGTTCACCATTCGAACACGGTTCCATGGCATAACGATTGCCATCTTTTTCATCGCCGCAGAGGTTGCACCGTTCGTCTACTGTAAAGCCCCTCTTTCGCCTCTCCGTATTGCACATAATCCCCGTGCCTTACCAGCCAGATGAACGAACGAATTCTATTGGGGGTGCGAAGCTTCGAAATGCCGCCCCAATCTTCCTTGTCGAGTCCTTTGTTATCGGGGATCATTAAGTCGTATGCAGACTTAATCGAGAAAACTTTGTCCTCAGTTGGGCCCCATCCCACAATGTCCGTCTTGGTATTATCGTTCAGGATTACCCGCGCTGCCATCTCACTTCTCTTCTCAGGATGAAGCCTGTAGACACGAAAAATTTGAACCCGACAAATGGGCCGATTAAAGTGTTATTGGGCCAATATTGAGATTGATGATTGGGCCAATTTAATTAATTGGATCATAGAAATTAATTTAATTTAATGAGTCCAATTAAATTTGATTTGGGCCGTTGAAATAATTAATTAATTGGTCCAAGCCCATCTCATATTTGAATTATAAATTATAATTATAATTTAAATATAATACAATTTTATTATATTTGAATTAGATAATTATAATTTGAATTTGAATTTGATTATACAATAATGAATCTGGACTTGATTCTGGGCAAGATTCATTTTCCTAAAATTAATTAATTAATTAATTAATTAAAAAGGGGATGTTGTTGAGGAATGTTGGTTAGGCTTTTAGAATAAATAGAGCCTTCGTTTTCATTCCAAAACACACTTGAAAGCTTGAAGAACTTGAAAGTTTGAAGAAGTTGAAGACTTGAGGAATTGAGAGCATTTGAAGAGCTTGAAGGCATTGAAGAACGCTTGAAGATTTGAAGGCATTTTTGTTGATTTTGCAGGCAATTTGAATCCATTGCAGGTACTTTGGAGCTTTGCAGAATTGATTGTCTCGAAGATCTTGAAGTCTTTTGAAGGCATTTGAGGACCTTAAGGCAGCTTGAATCCATTGCATGTGTTTTGAAACTTTGCAGGGTTGATTACTTCTAAATACTTGACGCTCGTTGTTGGAAGTCACGCCAATTGAATCCCGGAAGCTACGCCACTTAAATCCCGGAGGCACGCGCCACTTAAATCCCGGAGGCTACGCTACTTGAATCCCGGAGGCACTTCCATAGATAACGTCAGTGAAGAATCAGAGGACTAGACAGGGATTTTGTACTTGCATTGAATTATACACACGCTGTAAACAGATTTTGTAAATATATACAAAGTTTACTTTTTTGTGTTTACAGATTTTGGCACACCTAGTGGGACAACTCTGCCTCTCATCTCTTCACTGTTGATTTGCGGGCTCTATAAGGAAGAAATCCAAAAATGGCATCAAGAAATCCCTCCTCCAAGATGACCTACGCTCAAGCTACCCGCTCTAAGGCATCATCCGTGGCCGGTTCTGGTGACAGCCAAAACGTAGAAGGAGCAATGACTCGGAGCCGAGTGAGGAACCTAGGAGTGCAGCTGCACGGGGCCCAGGACATCGCTCGCCACATCGTTCGAAGGATTGACAAAAGCTCCACCATGTCACGAAGAGCTATACGTAACAAGGGGTCATCCGCTACAATGGAAGCTGTTGGTGACAAGAATCCTTTAAGTGAAGGAGCTCCCAGCAACAAGAATCCTTCAAGTGAAGGAGCTCCCAGTAACAAGAATTCTTCAAGTGAAGGAGCTCCCAGCAACAAGAATCCTACAAGTGAAGGAGCTCCCAGCAACAAGAGTCCTGCGAGCCCTACTCCCTCGAATAAAACCCCAAGCAGTGGAAGCTCATCACAGTCATCACTTCTACGGAGAACCTCACCGGAATGGAATCACATATACACAATCATGCCCGCTATGACAACGAACGCGGCTTCGGTGGAGGAACAACTTGCCAACACCGCCAAAGCTCTTGAGGGGATAACTACGTTCATGCATAACCAAGAAAGGAGAATCAATGAGCTCAGTGAAAAGGTTGAAAGCGGAAGAAACGGCGAAACAAGTCGAGCTTCCGGGAAGCAGCCTCAAACCTAAGAAGATGAGATCGATGTCGAGTCACCGCGTCATCAAGGTAGGCCAGGAATGGAAGAGACAATCTCTCGTCCACCACCCGCTAAGAAGAGTATTCTAATTTCTGAGGGCATGATACCTGTAGACCAGTTGAATGACTACATCATGGGAGCGATCAAAGGGAAGCTTGAGGGAGGACAATCTTCATACACTTACACTAAGCCCTATACTCAGAGGATTGAAGAAATGAAGATGCCATTGGGCTATCAACCTCCCAAGTTCCAGCAGTATGATGGAAAAGGCAACCCAAGGCAGCACATCGCCCACTTCATTGAAACCTGTAATGATGCAGGAACATACGGAGATCTCCTCGTCAAGTAGTTCGTCCGCTCTCTGAAGGGCACTGCCTTTGATTGGTACACCGACCTGGAGCATGGTTGCATTGACAGCCGGAATGATATGGAGCGCGAGTTCTTGACCCGCTTCTACAGCACAAGAAGGACTGTCAGCTTCTTGGAACTCACCACCACCCGCCAATGGAAGGGTGAACGTGCAGGCGCTTACATCGAGAGATGGAGGGAGTTGTGCCTCAATTGTAAAGAGAGGATATCCCAAAGCTCCGCAATTGAAATGTGTATCCAAGGCATACATTTTGAGCTCTCTTACATCTTGCAGGGAATCAAGCCTAGAACATTTGAAGAATTATCCAGTCGTGCTCATGACATGGAATTGAGTATTGAAGCTAATGGGGGACTAAGTATGTCAAGTATGCCCAACTCATCAAAGGCACCTGCAAACCAAGATACCAACAAAGGGAGTAAGTTCTTTCCAAAGCAAGAGAAAAAAGAAACGATGAACGTGATGACAGGACCAATGCGGGTTTTCACAAAAGTGGCTGAGAAGCCCAAGCAAAGATCATTCCCCGGCCCATCAAGGGGAGCTAGAAAAACAATTGTTGAAGAGTGGCAGGAGAAACAATATCCATTCTTGGATTCTGATGTTTCTCCTATGTTTGACGAGTTGCTGAAACTCAAATTAATTGAATTGCCTGAGATGAAGCGCCCCGAAGAAGCTTCTAGGGTGGATGACCTCAACTATTGCAAATATCATCGTTTCCTCGGCCACCAGATTGAAATGTGCTTCGTTTTCAAAGATAGAGTCATGGCGCTTGCTCGAAATGGGAAGATAGAGCTTGCGGATGCTAGCGCAAGCACAAACCAAGTTTCATGTGGAAGGTTTGCTCCATTACTTATGGAAGATGGAGAGAAGAATGGGGGCAAGCAACATAAATGCACACTTCCATTTAGAGTAAAACATGCTGACGTGCAGTACTTAAAACCATCACAAGTCGATCCTGCTAGCCATATTAGACATTAAAGAAAATGACAAAGCAATGGGTTGAGAAGAAGTCAGCAAGGGACCCCGTCCATGACTCGAAGAAGAAATGACTTCCCTACAAGCCACGGGCACCAGTTACCCTAGCTCGATACATGCCAAAGAGGTTTTTCCTGAGTAGAACAGACATTCTTGGAACTTGTTTGAATACCAATGAAGAACATGTTGAAGTGGGATAATCTTCATTCCCCTTGATTGAAGGAAGCAACGAGGTCCAAACTCGCAGAGCCGCGTCTTACACTACAGAGATAATTTTCAAAGATGAAGATCTATTGCTTGGTGTGCACCACATAATCGTCCATTGTTTGTTGACGGTTATGCCCGCAAGCAAAAGATTAAAAGGATTTTGATTGATCAAGGGTCAGCTGTGAACATTCTGTCACTCCGGGCTATGAAGGAACTTGACATCTCCACCGATGAACTCTCTCAAAGCTGCTTAATGATTCAAGGATTTAATCAAGGCGGACAAAGAGCACTGGGTACCATTAGACTCGACCTCAGGGTCAGAACGCTAAACTCAAGTACACTATGTTATGTAATAGATGCAAGGACGTCTTACAACCTGTTGCTGGGCCGGCCTTGGATACATGAGAATGGAGTAGTCCCCTCATCCTGGCACCAATGCCTCATGTTTGAAAAAGGCGGGGAGATAGAAAAGGTAGTCGCTGATGAAACTCCCTTCATCGAAGCGGAATCATACTTTGCAGATGCAAAGTTTTACTTGAAGAAACAAGTTGTTGTAGAGGAGGCTAACCAAAGCAATGTTGACGCACCTCCTGATCCAAAATGGAAAGGCAAACAGGTCGTAGACCAAGCTCATTGCAATAAGGAACTTGTTTTTCCACTTACAAGAATTGAACCATTGAAAGCTCTCCCAGCCAAAACGCTTGGAGAATAAACCAAAGATAACGATGCTCGGGATGGAATAGATGAAATGTTGCCCGTTAAGCGCATTAATGGCTTCGACCCCAATGCTTATAAACTTCTAGCTAAAGCTGGCTACAATCCCAAGGAGCCGCAGAAGTTGGGGAAGCTTATCCCAGAAACCGGCGGTAAAGGCAAGTCACATCAGCAAGGACCGCATGAACATAAAGGATTAGGCTATGGTCTCCCTAAACCAGTGCGAATCTTCATAAACAGAGCCGCAAGTAATTGCATCACGTCTACCGATGAGAAGGAACAACACAAGAGGCAATCAGTCTTTGATAGGATTGGCGAGGTAGAACCACGACTGTTAGCCTTTCATAGGCTTGGGTCAAATCCCAAACCTGCTAAGAGGAAGTCAATACATGACAGACTCGGAGCTGCTCGAGTTTTTAAAGAACACGCCGACACTTCTGTTGAAGTGGAGTCGTCAAAAAGGCTTAGAAGTATAGTTCCCTCTCGTATGAGACGAGAAGTTGATGTTCATGTTTCATGCAGCGAAGTCTTGAAGGTCCAGCCAAAGACCATCATATACACCCATGTGCAAGAAGGAAAAGAAGACCTTGATTCAGGTTATGGAGCGACACCAACTCAAGATGAGGTGCCGTCTTCATTCCACATTAATTGACATGATGAGATCCCGGTTGCGGGGCATGTACAACTTGATTGATGAAAATGATGCGCAAGTTGGCCCTATTAATTAAGTAAACTACATTAATTGACATGATGAGATCCCGGTTGCGGGGGCATGTACAACTTGGTTGATGGAAATGATGCGCAAGTTGGCCCTATTAAGTAAACGAGACTACTTGATGAATGATGTCCACAAAAAATGCAGCACGTGGTTAAACTGCTAATGCATCTCGCTTGTCTATGGGTGGGCCCAAGTCATAGACGCTCCTGGCCCGCATGAGCTTAAACTGTGAATGGCTTTACTTTTTAAAAAAAAATTGAACTACGTTTGA